TATATATATATATATATATATAAATATTTTCAAAAGATAATATATTATTTGTAACAATAACAAAATAACAATAATCTCTTAATCATACTTAAACAATTATTTCAAAGTTTATTTTTATCTGTATAATTGTCAGATTTGAGTCTTATACATGGAAAAAAAAATATCTGCGAGAAGAAATTTAAATAAAAATAATTAATCAAGTACTTTCATAAAAGATAATTCATCAACAAAATATGGGAATATTTATTAGTAATAGTGTGGTAACTCGAAAATTTGACCTAAAAATGTTATATTTCCCCTTTATAATTTAAAAAAAAAATAACTTTGAATTCGGATCATAACAGCTCAAAGAAGAATAATTTTTGGTGTTTTTTCCTGTTTAAATTTTTTTTAAAAATACTTTATTATACAAAAACAAATTAATACATTAATGGAAATAAAAAAGAAAAAATGAACATATGTATACCTTAGGGGGAAAAAGGTTTCATTTTAATTATTATTTCATGAATTAAAAATAACCTTTTAACCTTGATTAAAATAAGAAAATACTAGCACAAATGCTGTTATGTTCTTGATGTTTTAGATTAAAGAATCAAAAGTGAAATTTATGAAAAAATATTATCATGATTTTCAATACACTACATTATGATTTTTAATAAAAAAGAATGTATTTACTGATTACTTGTTGATATGATGCAGATTAAAGTCCTTGAAAAGCCAAATAAAAAGGAGGAATAGACAGGCTAGAGAGAATAGATTGCCAAATTGCATATGGCAACTGAAGGTGAAATTGGCCATCAAATTTACCTCAAAAGGCAAGAGTGTCACATGGCTGCTTCCTTGCACATTTGATCCAACAACTCCTACAGACCTATGGCCAACAAAGCCAATAATTTTGGCATAAAAGGTATCCTATCCTTATCCTAACAAAGTATAGAGCCAGGTGATGTGAAATATGATGTTAAGGCTAACACGGCAAAATGCAGAGTTCTCCTGAAAGAATTAAATACATCAACTTAAAGAAATGGTGTTGAGTAAATGTTGCAAAGATTGGCTTAAAAGCTGTGTACAAGTCAACCCTCCCAACTCCCAAGACTGCTGGGGTCATAAATGGACCACAAAAATAATTGATACAAACCCCAATATCATGATCATTATTGTTAACCATCAACTTGGGAGTGAGAGGCAGCAAGAAGAGCAGCACCAATGCCTGAACCATCATTGGAATGCTCAATGATAATACTTTCTGAGACATCTTCACCAACCAATTCTTTAAGGGTGTTCTCTAGGCATTTGCTATACTCGGTGTAATGCTCATACAATCCACCATCCATGGCTATCACACTCTTCTGACCCTCACCATCACTCATGGTATCTTTTCCCAGCTTCTTCAAGATACCCAAGATGCCAGCAGCAGAAAGACGAGCACCACGGGTGGCAACAATGTTGCAAATCTCCACAACCACCTTCCTCACTTGTAGGGAGGTATCAGATATCTAATATTAAAAAACAGAAAGGACAAAGATAAGTTGATTAAAGTTTTAATCATGTTGCAACCTTTAAAATTTGAGAGTCTCAACTTGAATCATATGTTTAGATAGAATTAAAATATTGAAAATTTGGACACTATTATTAGTATATAAGCTTTCTAACGTCAATGTACACATGCTGTAAAAGGCCTTGTTGGAAAATCTTAATCCAAACAGAATAGAGGATTTTATATACCTCGAAAATGTTCTTCAGTTTGCTTCCTACCACATTGAGATCAGCAGATGAGTCATGATGCATTGCAGACATGTCCGGCGTCCTGCACATCCGATGCTGATGGTCATGGTACAAAAACTTGTAGACAATGCCAGTAATTATAAGCAGCGCAGTAATTTTGGGATTTAGGATTCTTATTGAATCATGACCTAGTGTAAGCAATATTAAAATATTTAGTATCTCTGATGGACCAACCAGTGAATGCTCTCAAATTTTACCCTCTTCTATCTTGTCTCATGGCCACTTAACAAAAAGGACAAGTACAGTGAGAATCTCATATCAAGAATTAAACCAATAAAAGAAAAGGCGAGATGCTCAAGCATAAGCATCTTGTAATAATGATTTAGTTTACAAGCCCAGAAACGTAACATTTTTTTACCAAATCTGAGGTGTTGATGGTAAAAAATTATTAAAATAATTTTGGGAAAATGTGATAAAATCATAATTTTAACAGGGGTGAAACTTTAGGCATCCTCTGATGTTAAATTGCAGTACAACAAATTTGTCTTTGGTATTGCTAGTGGAGTTTGCCCCAGATTCTATATTTCTGATTTGCAATATACTAATTCAGGTTAAGGGAATTTAAATAGGAATCTAGCAGGGTACATGATCTTTCTGGCCAAAAAAAAAAAAAGATAAAGCACAACATCACCCATTGCATTTGCTGTAGAAACTTGGCATGTAGAATGCGTAAACAGATCCAGTAAATGATATTAATGTTTGTCAGGAATGAAATAAAACCAACACTAAATAAAGGAAAACAAAAGTTAGGGGACAAAATCGAAGATGGAACGGAACATTGATGATAAAACCGAATTTTGGTAGAGAGAATTTAAAGGATTATAAAATTAGTCAAATCCTTTAGTATAACATGATTTTGAACATTTTTTTTTGTCAAATATACCACACCCTTAATTTCATTTCATTTAGAATTAAATTAGAATGTACTAATGGTGTAAAGACATTTTACATTGTCATGAGTCATCCAATCCCAAAATACCATATAAAGTTTGTTAATTTTTTAAATAACTACATTAAAAGTCATATTATGGGATGATTTTTGAATGATTGATGATATAAATTTTGTACACTATCTAACAGTGCTTGAAAATTAAACTTTTTAATTTATCACTGTTTCAAGGATGGAATATCCATATTCATAAATAAAACAGAGTGAACTAAAGCGATGGTAGCAGACGTGATGATCCTGCATGATGCACAAGACCCATGAAACTATGTGACACAGTCTATTATAACTCTCAAATTAGTATATCAGATGGAAAATACACACATACAAAAAAAAGTGATTGAGTTTATAAGTAATCCAGAAATATTTCTCTCCACAAGTTTGATAAATTCCTAATGGTTAACCAATTTCATGTGTTCCACTGAGACTGATTACCAAAAAGGTACGCGACTTTGTAGTCATAACAAATTACATAAGAAGAAATGCTAAAGGAAGTTAGGATAGCTTCCTTAAACAACAGAAAAACCTTAGTATAGAACATATGGAATTATTCTTCATGTCTCCCATGGAGGAACCCCGAAATAGGCCATTTGGTAAAAGCTAAACGGAGGCACAAAACTATGCATTCCCGGAGCAAATTTATGGTAGACAATTTCCTTTGAATGTCCAAGCATTTTGTGTTGGATAATCTTAAATTTTAGAGATATCCGAGTTAGTTTATCTGTTTTGTTTGTTTTATTTTAGATAAGATAGTTTTTTGATAAGATCTGTTTTGATAAGATATTTTGTTATCGTTTTGTTAATTCGGTACGTTGTACAATGACTATTTAAAGGTCATCTCTTATTCAATGAAAGTACAGTGAGTTGCTACGTTCACACAATTTTTAGTATTACTCGTGATGGAAATCTAATCCCCAAGGATCCATTTGGAAGAGGTAAGACCAAGAAAGGTGAAGGTTGATCCACGGAGGCTCATCCATGAAGACCATTGGGCCTTTAACTAGGTCCATGGTTAGGAAGCTAGAGGAGACTTCTATAGAGGAGGTGCTTCTTAGACCTTTGATCCTCATGAGCATTGATTATGATTCATCTTATTAGTCTCTTGAGCTTCCATTGTACATACATTGTATAGTTTGATTTCTTGTACCTTGTATATAGTAGATACTTGTATAGGTGTATTTTTGCCTTTGTATTTGTGAGGCACTTTATTTCCTTTTTAGTAGCTATTGTATATTGTTTCTAGGGTAGGTTACTTGGGCACTTTGACTCCATTTAACCTAACCTAGAAATACATTCTTTTCTTAGTTTTCTAGTAGTAGGATTGGGAGTGGCATTAGCAAGCTAGAGAGTGCCATTAGCAAGCTAGAGAGTGTTACTAGCAATTTAGCCAAAAGGTGGTCCTAGGCTAAAATTTACATATTGGACTCATTTTACTCCTAATTTTTCATAGATTTGATTTAGCTAGGTTCCATTCACATTGGATGAACCTAACTAAACCAAATTA